TATATATATATATATATATATATTCTCTCAAAGACCCACAAGAAGCTGTTTTTACAAGACAAGGGACTGATCTAGGCTTATTTGGGTTTTGTGGAGACAGCAGTGATTTAAATCAAAAGCTGTAAGTCCTGTTTTGTTGAGGTCTTTGAGGAGTTGGGTGTGCAGTCATCCATAGAGATGGAGGAATAAAACCCATTGGATTTTATTTGGCCGATCTTTGAGAGTTTTCTTTCAACAGCTGTGCAAACAATAACATAGCGTCCATGTTAACAACATTAAAAAGCAATTATAGCTGTATTATTGCTGATACAACGGGGAATTTTGTACTGATATTGGTCATTATTGTTATTTTGTCTAGATTTTTGGATGGAGTAATTCAAGTTTTGGTCCTTGTTGTTTGAGAATTGAGGTAAAGGTTGTGATGTTGAATGTATGTGTGTTTTTCCTGATTAAGATTACAGCGTTAGGAAGGTTGTCCAGCATGCTAACTATTGAAGTCATGTAAGTGATATATGAGGGTTCCTGCCATGCCACGAAAGTTCATTTTGCCGTTCACAAGCATGCACGCACACGCAATGAACACTGTAACCTGCAGGAACTAAGATGAACCCAGTAAACTCTTTAACACAAGGACACAAGGAATGGCCAATCGATTAAAAAAATTTAATCTAATTACAAGAAATGCTGACTAATTAATCAAATCACAATTAATCACATACTTCAATATTTGCTAAGGGAATCTCCCAAATGAAGGATAATGTAACTATCAAGTAGAAAACAACTTTTTCCTATTAATCATTATTTTTAGTAATGAAAACCATTTTTAAATAACTATAAGATACAAATATGCAATAATAACAAGATACAAAAATCATTAATTATTAATTCACAATAAATATCAAGTTTTGGCAAGTCATATCACAATACATTTTACAACCTGAACCACAAATAAATATGAAAAGGAGTTTGATTTCAGAACTTGAAAACATGCTTGTCATAGAAGAGATGTCATTATATGTATGACTTGCATATGCACTTTTGAATAAATTAATAGGTTTAAAATTTCTTCAGTTTATGTCTCAGCTGTTTAACTTTTAAAGAAGATGTTTCATCTTATATTAACTAACGTACTCTACGCATCCAAATGAGAGAGAGAGAGACCGCGTACTCTACGATTAGCTCAGTGAATAATAATTAAAAAAAACAGACCCGGCTAGAACAAGCGGAGTGATACAAAATTGTGAAAGGGCGTTCCTGTAGCGATACCAGTACAATATCTCACGGTTCTCAGCCAATCAGATTTGAGAACCAGAACGAACTGTTGTATGTATAAATAAATAAATATATATATATATATAATACACACACACACACACACAAAGAAATACAAGTAGATAGAATAGAAAAAAATAGAAAGCTAGTGGGGGGTTTTTTTATAAAAGAAGAAGATAAATAGAAAAAGTAGAATTAAAATAGAATAGAAAGTGTTAGAGTTAGAGGGTCAAATAAAGATGGAACAGATGTGTTTTTAGTCGTTTCTTGAAGATGGTTAAGGACTCAGCTGCTCGGATTGATTTGGGCAGGTCATTCCACCAGGAGGGAACAGTTAATAAAAAAGTCAGTGAAAGGGATTTTATGCCTCTTTGAGATGGCACAATAATGCGTCGTTCACTTGCAGAATGCAAGCTTCTAGAGGGCACATAACTCTGAAGTAATGAATTTAGGTAAAGGGGTGCAGAGCTAGTGGTGGTTTTGTAGGCAAAAAAGTCAATTTTTTAGGTTTTCATATCTGTATATGTATATTGTGCAAATTCATTTAAGAGAGTTAACTACAACATCCCCAATAAAAAAACAAAACAAAAACAACCTTGGTTTACCAAACTGTATGTGTTTGTGTGTGTGTGTGTGTGTGTGTGTCTTTGCAGGTGCGTAAGGAATATGGCCGATGTCTCCGCACACACTGCTGCAGCGGGAAGAGTGTGGAGTCAACCATCTCCACTTCAACAAAGACCAGTACAGCCCGCACACCTGGACGCTATTCCACCAACTCACAGGTAACACACACACACCTGCAGGGGATCCTCCAAAACCATCTCAAGTGATTTTTCTAGGCCAGTGACTGGTGAAGCTGTCAGTGGTCAATGCAGTCATCAGCTTGTTATTTCTTTGCACAGAAAGCACTTTAGCTCTGGCGTTTTCTTATTCATGGATGAATACCGTCCCACATGACCCAATTTCCCATTCAGCCTTATTTTAAATGGTGCACTAAGCATTCTGCTCACCTCGCTATTCGTGAATATAATCAGAAAGGTTTTCAATGCTGTATTCCAATTAGCCATTAGCCATAGTACAGTGCCGGTAACTGTAGACAAAAAAGACAAAATAAATACCAAATACAAGTAAAACAAAACCAACCTCACGGATCGAATGTCTGTACTGTATTATGAGTGATATAAGATACTAGATATAAAATAAGTTATCTGCATTACACTACCATTGATGCATAATAAAATTTCTTTGTTTGCTTTCTTTGGACGCTGCTTTCCTTTTTTTGTTAGAAACTGAACATCGACCCCCTCTCTTTCTCTGTTGTCAGAGTCGTATTCGTAGGATGTGGAATGACACTGTCAGGAAGCAGTCAGAGTCATCTTTCATCACTGCTGATATGAACAGCTCAGCATCTCTCAACAGAGGTAAAGCCAAACACACACGCACACAAACACAAACATGCACCCATGTGTACACATGTACACAGTATTCATACACATACATATTGACAGAAACTGTACATACATAAACACACACACACACACACACTCAAAACAGGTTGTTTGGATCTGAAAAATGGAACAGAAACCAGTGGTCATTTGACCCCTATAGGTTCATTCTGACCAATGAGATTAGCCATACACAGAAAAATAATATACCCTAAAAACAGAGATTATGTTTCTTCAACTATGGGCGCTTATTTATTGCATGGATAATATTTTAGCATTTTAACACCTTGGCCTTCATCATTTATTTTTGCTTCTTAAATGCCTTACACGTATAAAAGTATAAAAAATAAAGTATAAAAGTATACGTTTGCAAAGTATAAAACTTTATTATTTTACCCTTGTTCTTAAACCAGACTTTTAATCTTAATTAATTCGTATTTTATATATCTCATAAAATATGAGTCATCGCATTTTATGAAATTGACATGACAAGGAGATGTGAGGCAAAATATTCACACTGCATTCACACTGTATTTCCATACAATGAAAGTTAATCAGCACAGACAATGTCAAGCTAAAATTTTGCTAACGTTTGTATTTTGTTTATATGACTGCTATAAGTTTTTAGTATTGTTTTTATTATTAATAAATCATTTGGATTTATATACATTTTTATAAATATAAATTATATAAATGTATATTTAATTAAATATCTTACACACAGACATATGGTGTATTTCCAGTGAAATTGACATGACAAGGAGATGTGAGGCAAAATATTCACACTGCATTCACACTGTATTTCCATACAATGAAAGTTAATCAGCACAGACACTGTCAAGCTAAAATTTTGCTAACGTTTGTATTTTGTTTATATGACTGCTATAAGTTTTTAGTATTGTTTTTATTATTAATGAATCATTTGGATTTATATACATTTTTATAAATATAAATTTTATATAAATGTATATTTAATTAAATATCTTACACACAGACATATGGTGTATTTCCAGAGTAATCAGTGTTCAGGAATGCCACCTATAAAAATTTATTTAATTTACATTTAATTTGAATGAATTTCATAAAATAACTTTAAAAGATTTTATAAGTTTATTTTGAAAAATTCCTTAATCAGCTATAATCCTCTAATTTGCCCCAAATTTGGATTTATTCATTATTTATTTATAAAGCTGTCAGAAAACAATATGGTGGTGGTGATGGTAATTTTACTATATAAGAAAAAATCTCTTGATTAAAATCTCTATTAAAAAATCTCTTTTTGTGTTCTACATATCGGTCAATAAATAGTTTATTTTAGTTTAGTTAATATTTTAGTTGGACTGTTCTGTTTAAAATTGTTCTATTGTGTATCCTATTTCTTTGAATTGCAAATTAGCACATTCCAATTCAACTTCCAGTTTAATTCATTTTAAATTCTGCTTAATTCAGTTAAAGGGACACAAATAATAATAATCTGAATTGTATCCAACACAGATTTACCAGAAAAAGAAGTGATCCAAAGTGTTTGTTTATCATGGTGTGTGAAATACAAAATTTTCTAGAATAATACTAAAATACAAAAAAAGTTGGTTTATTTCATATAGTGATTATATATGTATATTTTAAACATTAATTATTACATTATCTCATGTTTCTTGAAATACTCCATATGTTGAGTATATTAGTACATCATAATAGGTAATTCATGTTGGGAAAATGTATTAAAAGAAAAAAGCTTCACAGCTATAAATTTCTTTGATATCCATTCTATTTTAATTCACCTTCCTTAAATTCAAATCTGAAAGACTATTGGGAAATATAAGATGCTTTAATATTCTAATGGTACTCATACACAGAAGACGATCCAGAGTTAGCATTGGTATCCTACATACTGTACATACTTCCTGTGTCTGTTTAATGAGCTTGTTTATGTTGTTTCTATGTCCATCTGTTCTGTTTAATAATTTGGTGGTATAAGAGCATTTCAGCCTAGCATCTGTCCTAAACTCAGCAGGTTAGCATTCAGTCACTAATGCCTGTCACAGTCTGAGCTGAATATAATACTTCTTTCTCTCTCTCTGTGGACATGTTCCATAAGCATTTATGTATGTAATCATTCTTTCTCTCTCTCTCTCTTCTTTCATGCGAGTCTGCAGCCTCCTACAGAGATTCAAGTATGATTCATTTACTTTCACAACAGCTCCACGTTTATAATATATTCTCCTCTGCTTCTCTCTTCCTTAATCTTCTCCTCTTCCTCATCCCTCCTCTTCTCCCTCCCCTGTTAAATCCGCATCCCTCCTATTTTCATCTGTTTCTTATTTGATAAAAGTTAATATCCTATTTGATATCATCTTTCATGAAGCATACATGAACCGATTCATATTACCATCAATCATAAATACTGTATATATAAGATTTTTTGGTCAAACTTTATTTTAAGGTCCAGTTCTTGCTATTAACAAACCATTAAAGGGATAGTTCACACAAAAATGAAAATTCTGTCATTTATTACTCACCCTCATGTCGTTTCAAACCCGTAAGACCTTCGTTCATCTTCGGAACACAAATTAAGATATTTTTGATGGAATCTGAGAGCTGTCTGATCCTGCATAGACAGCAATGCAACTGAAATGTTCCCAAGTCCAGAAACATAGCAAAGAGATCTGTAAAATAATCCATGTGACATCAGTGGTTCATCCGCAATTATATGAAGCTACGAGAATACTTTTTGTGCGCAAAAGAAAAAAAAATAACAACGAGTTTATTCAACAATTCGTCTCCTCCGCATCACCCTGGTGCCATTTTGGAGAATATCCACTGGACGTAAACAATGTATGCTGTTCTGTGTCAGGTGCGTCACGCCGGATCTGTTTCCTACATTGTTGTGATTTGATCTGAACGGAAACAGCGTATCCATGTGACGCTATACTGAATAATATTTTTGGGTGAACTATCCCTTTAACTATGACTTTAGCCTCAATAAATGCCTAATTTGTTGCTTATTGATCGTTAGTAAGGTAGTTGTTAAGTTTAGGTATTGGGTAGGATTAGGACTGTAGAATATAGTCATGTAGACTATGTACTTAATAAGTACTAATAAACAGCCAATATGTTAATAATAGGCATGCTAATAAGCAACTAGTTAATAGTGAGAATTGGTCCCTATACTAAAGTGTTACCGATTTTGTGTGTGTGTGTGTGTGTATGTACCAAAATTTTGTAAACGAGGTTCTGTATTAATTTCCTCTGTTTCAGAAGGCATTCTCAACAACGCGCGGGACTCCAGCGTAATGGATACGCTGCCGCTTAACGGGAATCACGGCAACAGCTATGGTGTGGCAGCAGGCGATTACCTTACCTATAGTTCTCGCGGCAGCGAGCCTCCAACTACGCTTGAGAAGAAGATCCTGAAAGAGCTGACGGCAACTTACGCTCCGTCGTACCTCAACACCCAGGAGCGACCGGGAAAAGCCCACCAGGGCACCTTGACCAATAAACTCAACAACCACCTGGCCAACGGAGGGGTCGCGGGGTCATCGTCTATCGCCAAAGACGACGTCATGGTGCTCGACAACCCTGGATCATTTCACCGACACGACGACGGGGGCGGTTTAAGCCTGGAGCTCATTAGGGAGGAGTCACAAGCGCCGCTCCTCCCACCGAGGCCGCCCCCTTTGGAAAACCACACCCCCTTGCACACGTTTTCAGCTCACAGGCGCCTGCCACAGGAGAACAGCGAGAGCTTCTTCCCGCTGCTCCCCAACGACACGCACACACACTCCTCGCACACACACACTCCCCGCATGCACACACACTCCCCCCTCAGAGACTCGCTCTATACCAGCATGCCCACACTCACTGACCTCCCGCATGGCACTGACGACCTCATCAACGGTCTGCACGATGACGAAGATGATGAGGATGACGACAGCGAGGAGGAAGAGGGCAGCGAACTGCACCTGGCCAATGGCAAAGGGGTCGTAATGGAGGCAGACGATGTATACTACAAAAGCATGCCGAACCTGGGCTCCAGGAACCACATACAGGAACTAGAGAGCTATTACCAGATGGGACGCGGAGGCAGTGACGGGTTCATCGCTCCACCTGAGAAAGAAGACTCGTCGCCTGAAGAACAGCCACCAGACCCCTCACAGCTGGTCACCAGCCTATAGACACCGACGCACACACACAGCGTGCGTGTGTGTATGTGTGTGTGACACAATGCACAAGGCATGGGATACACTACCTACTGCACTGATAGAGAGACTGATTCCAGATAGCCCCCCGATTCCAGTACATACGATCACCAAAATCCTGCCCCAGTTAGAACCAGAAACTAGTAACCCATTCCTATGCTAGAACAAGGACTACCGTGTGTAGGCAGGTCTTGTGGACTTCTTTCTCCTCAATCTCCTAGGAAGCCGATCTGCTAAGTAAAACTCTTGCGGATCGTCAATTCGGAGACGTGGACAAACTTTTGCTCCCTGGATCATTTGCATAGATCTCCTTCATCCGATGGCTGTCTGATTCTCCTCAAAACTCACCACGGATTGTGGAACAGACTGCAGAAAACTAGCTGCCATTTTAGATGACCTTGTATGATAATGAGACTTTGAACTCTTCTGTCGTACTGAACTGCATTACCCACAACTCTCTAGAAGACTTCTCTGTGATTCTCTGCTGCACACATTCCTTCTCGTTTAGCACCGATTCTGAGCGTGAAATCACAAAAGGCGCATCTATTCTTGAAGACTGAGGACGCATCTTGTTTTCTTACGTTTATTTTTCAGTAATAATCTCAGTTATGGGAAAGGTAATCTTCACTAATTACAAAGAAATGGAACTGTTTTCCATGTAAAATGTACAGATTCCCGATATTGCATATGATCGTATGCATTTCATGTTTTTTGACATATTTTGCCCCTTGTATGTGTTTTTGTAGACTAGACCAATCCCGCAATGCTGTGCTGGTCCTCCAAAATACTATCCCTGATAACGCACAGCACAAACACACACTCACCTATCTACATACACACTCTCGTTTGGAAGGATGACCGTGGCAACACTTTGTCATTCTAATTCTCACTGTGTCGATGATAACCAAGAGACTCTGGGGAAATGACTGTTGTGTGATTGACCACTATTGCAGATGGGATCCCAAGGATGCTGGAATGTTGTCATGTCATGAGTTCTAGAACGTTTACCCTTCAACACGCCATTTTTTTATGTGTAAGAGCAGAAATTCTACTTTGGATGCAGGTTGAAGAATTCCAGCTTACTGAAATTCCGGTCACACGTGTTGACACAGCTAAAATTGTTTTCAGGCTAAAAGATGGTCTGTTATTGTGACGATTTCACATCGAGTTGTGTTTTTAAGAGCTTAATCAAGAAGAGTAAGAAAGTGAATTGGAACAGGTGAACTGGGGGAATCATGATTACGAATCATGTGTGGAGCATGTCTAAACATAAAATAACCATGTAAAAGAGCGGACTAGAAGGATAGGACTTTAATGGAGTGGTTTGGAAGATGGAAACAACCTTGTAAAGGTCGGTTTCTGAAACTACTGTTTACTTGTTCTCAAACTGAGACTCCCTGTAGCTTGCACATCTATCCCTTGTTAACCCACCCTGAGAAAATTGACTGCATATTTATTCCTGTCTTGTTTTTTTATTTTTTGTTTTTCAACAGATCAGAAATGTAGGATCCTAGAGAGCGTCGGGAAAAGAATCGGATCGGCACTGAGACCTTTTTTATTGTTATTATCATCAATATTATTATTATTACAATATCAATGAAATTATTATTTATTCTTTTCATATGCATTCTAAACTGAATGAACTCATAACTAATATTTGTTGTAACAGTGAAAGTTGTTTGCCAACAAATAAAATGACTGAATTAATATTTACAATATTTCACAAGGGAGAGGTGTGAGTTTCTGCTTCTTTTTTTTCTTTTTAATTGGATTTTTTCAATTATAGAGGGACACTTTCAACAGGACGAGGAATGGTCATGACTCCTCTGGGCAGGTTTTCAGGGAAGGTTTGTCATGGAGTAAATTGTACTGTGGATTGTGATTCTCTGTTGAAAATCCTTTTGGACTAGACTTAATCTCTGTCTGGGAAACAAGCTGGAAGATTTGAACAGTCAGTCGTTCTATACTGACCCAGTTTCGGTACCGGCACCAATCAAACGAGCACGGTACCAATTAATTATGCACATCTGAGAAGAGAGCCAGCACAAACAGTTAATTACGACCTATTGATTTTCATGTCTTTCCATGCAAACAGACACGCGTCCGTCTGCAAACACTCCCAAATGTCAGACAGCCTGCGCATGTGAGTGTGTCTGTGAGAGTTCGCTCTGCCAAATGTTACAACTTTCATGAATATTTATAGGCCATTTTGACAGGCACTTGAGCATTTTGAAAGGAAGGAAGGATGTAGTTTTCCCCTCCAAGCAGACTATATAGCTCCATACTCTATGCCCTGTCCTGCCTTTGACATGAGTATAGTGTGTGTGTGTGTGTGTGTGTGTTCTGTAGGTAGCCAATGAAATTGAAAAGTTGTTTTTTGAAGAAAGAAACTGTTCACCATTCAAACTTTTAACCAACCACACCTACAGCCTATACCACCCAACTGAGAAGAAAACTACACTGTAAAAAAAAAAAAAAAAAATCAATATTTTTTACAAAATTATTTTGGCAGCTGTGGTCCCTAAAGCCAAACCACCCAAACGGAAAAAAAACCTAACTTGAAAAAAAAAAAAAAAAAATCAATATTTTTTACAAAATTATTTTGGCAGCTGTGGTTGCCAGAATGATTTTTTTTAAACTACAAATACTGTAAACACATTTACAGAATAAACTGTAAATTTTACAGTATAAAACTATAATTTACAAACAAGAAAATTTAAATGTAAACCAGTAAATTCAACAACGCACACTGCTACTAAAATCTGTTTTGTACCTTTTAAAGGATTACTTCAATTACAGAATAAAATATAATTGAGATAATTTACTCACCCCCATGTCATCCAAGATGTTCATGTCTTTCTTTTTTCATTAGAAAAGAAATGAAGGTTTTAGAGGAAAACTTTTCAGGATTTTTCTCCATATAGTGGACTTCATTGGGAGCCAACGGGTTGAAGGTTCAAATTGCAGTTTCAATGCAGCTTCAAAGAGCTCTACACAATCCTGGGGAATAAACGTCTTATATAGCGAAACCATCAATCATTTTCAAAAAAAAAAATAAACATTTATATACTTTTTAACTACAAATGCTCATCTTGCACCAGCCCACACTCACTCATTACGTAATCATGTAGGAAAGGTCACACGTGACGTAGACGGAAGTATTGACCCAGTGTTTACAAAGAGAATGTGCAAAGAAAGTCAAACACCCTTTACAAAAAGAGGTAAAACAATGATGTTGGATGATTTTGAAGTTGGAGGAGAAAATGAGATGGAGTTTTCGCCCTACCCCTTTTGAGCCAAAATACCCAGACGAAGAACTAAGCGTGCGTGACCTTTCCAGCGTGATTATGTAATGCGTGAAGTAGCGTATGCGCTTTGCAGAGCTAGTGCAAGACAAACATTTGTGGTTAAGAAGTATATATTTTTTTAAAAATGTAGAAAATGACTGATCGTTTCACTTGATGACTTTTATTCCTCAGCTGGGATCATGTAGAGCCCTTTGAAGCTGCATTGAAACTGCAATTTGAACCTTCAACCCGTTGGCTCCCATTGAAGTCCATTGTATGGAGAAAAATCCTGGAATGTTTTCCTCAAAAACCTTAATTTCCTTTCGACTGAAGAAAGAACGACATGGACATCTTGGATGACATGGGGGTGAGTAAATTATCAGGAAATTTTTATTGTGGAAGTGAACTAATCCTTTAACATATACTGACAACTACAGTACCATAATAATGCAGGTGGTAAAAAAGAAAGCCACATGAAGAATCAAAGTTCATCACAAGTATCTTTTCCACAAGCTGAATTATATACTAACTTACAGACACAAAATCATGGTTACACACGACACTTAAATAATGCAATAAACATTCATTAAACAACAGATGTAACGTAAAAACCAAGTGCACATAACTTATTACAAAAACTCTTAAGAAACATGATTATTTAAACAAAATACTTTCAAATGTGAAATGTCATGCAGGGAATTCTGGGAATATCAGCTTACAGTTTTTGACTGCAAATTATACATTGATTTGTTATTTTTTTACTTCTAAAGAACTGTTTTACATGAAATGTCTGGTTAGATCTTTTGCAGTTTTCCCCTGTATACTACCGAAACTTACTGTTAACTTATTAACAGTTTTATTTGTAGCATTTTTACTGTATTTTACAGTTAAGATTACATTCAGTTTTTTTTACAGTATAAAGGTTTAGGTACCACAAAGAGTGGTAGTTTCCCCAATAGGACCAACACATTATTAAAGGCCCACCCACCCAAACTGGATATTTCATCTGGTATTTATGCTGTAATTATGGGGATGCTGCCCCATGTTTTATATATATATATATATATATATATATATATATATATATATATATTTGAGGGCAAATATCACCATTTACTGATCATTTGAAAAAGAGGGGGGAAAATATTAATATTTAATTATATGACCTTTCTTTAACTTTTACCTCACTGGTTTCTGTGTTTCACTGTTTCCATGTCATTTATTTAAAAAACAAAAATGCTCTATTACATGAAGCCTGCATTTCAGCAACATGCAAAAAGTACACCCCATGAAAACTGACTTATTTTAACATACTGGACAAGTTAATAGTTAAAGACATTTTAATTACACAAATTACACTTGTCATTAGTATAAGGCTTAAATAATTTGTAGCAGAAATGGCCATTTTCTGTGTAGAAAAGTTACACTTATCACTACATCAAGTGCTAGTGGTTCAGCAGTTAGTTGCAAATTAGTAGTAGTGTCCACATATGATGAAAAAGGAACTTTTCACAGGGTGCATTACATTTTCTACAACATATTTATTATGTAAAAATATTTGTTCAGTCTTTACTGCATTTGACTGCATTTGTCACTGCACTGCGTATGTATATATACAAGTCAATCTCCTGATCTCAACCTGATCGAGCATGCATTTCACTTGCTGAAGACAAAACTAGAGGTGGAAAGACCCGCAAATAAACAACAGCTGAAGACAGCTGCAGTAAAGGCCTGGCAAAGCATCACAAAAGAGGAAACCCAATCTTTGGTGAAGTCCATGAGTTCCAGACTTATTATTGCATTTGAATTATTCTATGGAAAAAAATACACTATGAGATTATTACTAAATTGAAACCAATATCTGGTCCTAAACTAGACTTCGGTCCTTACCCAAGTGACAACTCTTTACAACTCAAATGTTAGCCATTCTACAATTACATTTTAATTCATTCATTCATTCATATTTACTATAATTCATAATTTTTTTTCATTGCACTGTATGGCAAATCCGCAGTAAAATTGGGCAAAAATAGTATCATAGACAGTTTCTTTAGCTCAAGTCTTTTTTTTTTCAGGTTGGTCCAATGAATGTAAATGTGCAAGTTCTCAAATAGCCTACTTCATATTACAGTTATAAACTGGTATTAACCCGAGTAGAGCCAAAGTACCTCTGAAGCAATCATATTTTAAGTCTTTTCCTCAATACGTTTTGCATATTTGAAGCCTTAAACTAGCCTCCGGTCTTTCTGAACGGGTGCAGAGGCAGGCGGGGAGTGTTCTGTGAGCACAAAGGGTCAACAGGCTTTATTGTAAATGCTGATGGGGGTGAGCTATACCTAACTCTCTCCCTATGCTATCTCTCGCTTATTAAACTTTATCTAACTTCCATTTTTCATTCTCTTTAGGATTTGGGAAATGCAGAGTAACCATGGAAACGGCAACAGCAGGCTATCAGAGGCAGAATCATAACAGTGCTGCTAGAGCCTCTCGCAGCCAGTAGAGTTAAGAGTCGTGTGTGAGAGAGCTGGCATTCTGGGGAAAGGAACAACAAAGAAAGGAACAGGAGTCTTACTGAGATAACAGAGTTCTTAGCATCACTTATGCACTCAAACATTCCTATGCTCATGTCCACACACCCTTACAAAAAATGACTGCGGTTTTACAACGCCGAAAAAGTCTACTACTGCATTCATATAATAACACTTGAAATACAGTGACACATCTGCAGTAATGCATCCAAATTAAGTGCTGGAACACTGAAAAATATACTTCTACATGGGAGATCTAATTCTTTTTTGCCTGTTTATTGACAGTGTCAGCGAACAGGAAATGACCAGTTGAGATCGGGATCGAGACATGTCAGCGGTTGTCATCGCAATCCCCCTTTAGAGACCTAGAGTGAAGTGTCTTGCACAAGGGTACAAAAGCGATGGATATCAGTAACACCAGTTTATGGTCCATTTATAATGTTTCAAATGTTTTAAATAGCGTGACAAGATCTGCAAAGCATTAAGCTGTATGCAAAATGACAGTATGGAGGCAGCTCTTCATCTCTCTCATCTGCTGCTCTCAGCTATCAGTGCAAACAATTCGTTTGATCTGTTTTCACCATCAGTCATCATAAGTTGGAAAAGAAGGCGAAACGGACAGGCAAGACAAGACAAGTTTATTTATATAACAGATTTCATACACTGGCAATTCAAAGTGCTTTACAAAGAAAATAAAAAGAGAAATAGAAGTCGTTTAAAATCATTTAAGGCGAGACACTGCAGGTGAATAGGGTAAAAAACATTTTTGTCACGCCATAATTCAGAAAATGCATAGAATGGACAGAAAACACTATATTTTCACAATTTTGGGGGGAATAAAATGTTGTATATAATCAAGCAAATTATATATGAACAAATCCCTCTGTAAAAACCTTCAGAATATAGA